AAAGCAAGAGTGGAAATTACATGACACACTCCCTAGTATTAAAACATGGATTTGTGGTTTCCTCTTAATAATCCAATAAACCTTGTTCTGTGCATGACAAAATCATAAGTCTCTAGCCTCTTGCCTCGCTTCATAAGGTTGGAAACAAAGTGTTGACAGGCCAAACAAGACTCATAACCTCGTGATAATGTGAAACGTGTCCTTAGAGTTTGCTTGGGAAAAAGGGAGATTTTTCTTCTCTTCTCTCTCGCACGTAGGTCACTCGCACTACACAGCGCATGGAACATTCTAAATTCTGACTGAGTAGATATTATTTTTGCCACACTAAATAGTCTTACAAGTAGAGGTCATGAAGCTGGTTTCTTTCAAGCACTTTGAGTAATTATTTCCTGCGGTTTATGCTTCTGTAGGTGTTTCTGATAGGATTTGATCTCAGATGCAGTTGCATATTACTCATAGTTTCTTTGGTTTCTTCGAAATGCCTAGATCTGAATTACTACATGCATGTAGTTTCTTTGTCCTTGAATGTGATTATTTCCTGCTATATTTAAGCCCTGGGCCCAGCTACAAAATGTTGTTTCCAGGATGCTGAATTTTCATGCGAGATAGTGTGATCTTCAGATTTGAGTTGTAGCTTAGACTAAACCTTCTACATGAATAAAGATTTATGCTGTGCGTCAGCCAAGATCATTCTCCGAAGGGCGCTGATACAGTCCACTTAGTTTTTCTTAAGATAAACGAGTCTTTGGAATGGAGCGCGATACATCTAATACTGCTATGTAAAAGTTTCTGATATTTTGAATACATTTGTTAGGTTTGCGTTGATATTTCTGCTTACTATTGATACGTATTTCTTTCGAGTTTCTTTCTTTGATTCCTTTCTAGAATATATGTAACAACATAGGCCGGGTAACCACACCAAGGTACCAGGATTTAAAACAGCAATGAAATGTGAAAAAAAAAGAAAGAAAAATCATGCATTTTATTAAAATTGCATTTTAAAAAGGACGCAACAAGTTTGAGAATATTTTTAACAATAATTCCATCTGGCTGTGTTTTATATTCTCTATGACCCACCCCCTAAGGGTAGCTGAAAATTACACGACCCACCCCTTGCACAAGGCTCAAAACCTCATGACCCACCCCCTCTCTGCTCTAGCCCACCCCCCATACTTTTTGACCAGTCTCTTAAGGTATGCGTATAACCAAGTTTTTATTTTTTTAGAGAAAACGTCACGTCTCTCTCAAATTCATTCTTTAACACGTCTAAAACTGAGGATTATTTCGAGCATGCGCTCTTTCATCGCTTGTCACATTCCTGACAGGCTATCACGTGTACAAATCGGATTTGACCAGATCTCGCCTTCGGCTTCGTCAACAAGAGATCTGGGTACGAGATTAGGGTCAACCCCCACTAGTATGAAACTGCAAACAAACCCATCGGACTCCCAGTCCAACAACGCTAGCGGCACACATTTAAATTCATTGGCTTTGATATCGTTTTTTGTCTGATAATGTTCCGTTGCTTTCAGTATTGCGCTATTTCTTGAACTAATGTTGGAAAATTAGATACAGGATATAGAGAGGAAAAGTGTGACGTCACAAAAGTTCAAATTTGTGAAATTATGGAATTGGTTGGCATATTCAGAAAGAAGAAGATGAAAAATGCGCCATTGCCAAAAGAAAGCCGGTAAGTGCAAATTTGTGGGCAGATATAAGCAACGTTTAGAAAGTTCATAGTATAAATAAAAATTGATATGATATACTTACTCGATGCTCATATCAGGAGGATCACCAGGAACAAGGGTAATATCTTGATCCTTAAAAGACTGTCGACCACTTTTTGCCATGATAAATCTGATAGTATATGTTGAGTTAGGAATCGCCATGCTTGTATTTAACTTTATTATTTTTGTTTCGTTAAAATCCGTAAGTTGACCTGGAGCATATCCGAAACAGCTTCCATTGCTCAAGGGATTTTTTGTCGCAATAGAGGATATATTTTCCGGCAACTTGGAACCATTAAAGCTACAGAACCAAGCAAACTCGAAATTGCTTCCTGGTTCATCTGGGTCCACTGACTTAGACGCATCAATTTGCACTATAACGTCACTGCCTACAGTCCTCTTCGAGCCGCCCAAAATACTTGCCACGAGAGGAGTTGGGATAATTTCAATAGAAAATATCTCCTCATTGTAAAATCCTTCTGCCCAAGTCATGTTGATGGAAAACTGAAATTCAATCTTTGCGCAAATACTAAAATTCCCCGCGGGAAAGTCCAATTTGGCTAATGGTGTGGTGAATTCAGTTGGCATCGGATCTTTTTCATCAGTGCCGCATCTCTTTGTAATCTTCCACCTGAATTCGGTAGTATCATTGAAGCACTTAATCTCGTTGTCAGTCTCAATAGTTATCTTCTCTGAACGTGTGAACGTCTTTGTTTTACCGGATTCGAATCCAGGAACTCTAATTTTGGGTATTTCGCAGTATCCCCTCCCTACTAGCACTGTTCGTTCTAAATCTATGCAGGATACTGAATTGTTGGCTCTAAAATTAACAGTATAACTCCTGGCGTTTTCATACGTGACATGAAAATGTTGAATACAATTATTGCCAGTGCAATCCGTCAGACTCCCACATTTATTCTCTTCATACTGTTCTGGATAGTTAGCGCCATGTGCATTAAGTAGAAAACAGGGATTATGCCCCATCTGACCCACTGTGAGAGTAAAGTTTACTGGCTTTTTCTGTACTGTAGGCCCGTCGTCTGTTAGGTTAACACCACGTATGCTCT